AAAGAACTAATTAACATGAAAGGATGCAATTAAAAACAATCAATTATTTAATTGTGCATAAAGTTGATTATATTATATAAACCAGAATTCATTAGTAATAACTTGAATAGACATTGCATATGGTATTTTTCTGCCACCGTAACTCTGTTGATTCAAATGAATTACAGCAGCAGGGAATGTATGGCACTGAATTCCTTCTGCTGTTACTACTGGGTCTCGAAAAAGATGGATAATCTGCAAGAAAATTTCACTGATATATTTATTTATATTTTAATTTTAAGGTTATTTTGCTATTATTTACCTCTACATGTCAGTGTGGCTTTTAATAGATGTAATTAAATGCTGAAAGTCCACCCTGTTCATTTCTTTCAGTTCTTCAAGGACAGAAACATCAGCCAGAGAGATATAGTAAATGAGCTAGTATATGAAAAAGGTGCAAAAATCTTTTCTTCACCTTAAAAAAAAAAAAAAAGTATGTAATGGTTCCTTCTGCTTCACATTGTCCAGTTAAAACTTAAATTTTAAAATGTCAAAATATTTTTACTTGTTTTTCAAAGTCTGTAAAATGAAAACAACCACTTAAAAGAGATTTTTAAACAAAAGGTTTTTCTCTTTTGTTTTCCCCAGTGGAAACGTTTGGGTTTTCTGACCACTCTTGTGATATTTGCTCATTGTCTAGGTTTCTGTGATGCAGCCTAAATTGCATGACCAGTTAGTTTTACCTGCTAGAAGTTCCTGTTTCCCACTCGCTATGAGTGAACCTAAGTGGGGCGCATTCCTCCACACTGCCTCACACAGTGTCTGGCAACTTAAAACTTTCTGAAATGCTGTAATTCTGTTTGCTGGTTTATACTTTCTAAACTCTGGGAAAAATAAAATACACTGGGAGAATATAAATAATACCATGCTTTAATGGCATCTTCCACCTGAGAAAATATTCTAGCTTGCACATCTTTATATGTGTTTTCCAGTCTTAGTTTTAGCTTGCAAGCAATTTTGATGGTTATTTCCACAAATTTTAGGCCAAATATAACAAGTTTTTCTTCATGTATTCTTTAATTTTTCCATCAAAACAATAAAATTGGAAGTGCAGGATAAGACGCAGTATAGAAGTAGGTGCTGACAAGATCTCCCCATTACTATGCAATGGTCTGGAGTCTCATAACTTGGCTTTTTGTTTGTATTTCCTCGTTATAAATATGCAGATAAAGTACTGGGAGTTTAGCAATGCTAGCACATTTGATTGGAATTTTCTGTTAAACTGTTTGTGTGGGGGCTTGCTATTTGCTCACTTTTTCTTTCTCTCTTCCTTTTTCTTTTATAAGAATATTTTGTGCTCTGACACGAGAATACTTGCTGATGATACAAAACAACGGATGTCAAGTGTCAAAAAAGAGCATGACAAGAGGGTGAGATAGAGGGGAAAAATGTTAGTAAAGACAACCGAGGTAGCCAGAGTCACTAACTGCATTTCTTAGTTAGAGAGAGAAGATGAAAACAGAGCCGCAGACCTGCAGGAAAGCAAAGACCCTCTCTACCTGATTTCAGTGGAGACCCAGGTGCTGTGTAAGACTGTAATGGACAGTGTCAGCTGTACAGAAATCACTAATGCCAATGCACCAATGCACACAGGTGCTCCTGCCTGTGTGCAGGTAATCCTGCTTCTTGAAGAGCACCTTTGGATAGAGCAGGTGCTCGGATGGAGGCTGCATCCCTGGCTGCATTCTATGGACTGGTGGCTGCTGGCTAATGAGTATGTCCTTGAGTACTGATGCTACTCTGTTGACTTGTATCAGGAACACGGACTAAGTGTTGAATGTGCCAGCTATTAATATTTTAAAATTATGTTGCTGCTTTATGAAGAGGAATGCTCAGACTCAGGTACCATGGCTGCTGAGAGAAGGACAGAACTATGTTGTTTCCCCCTCACACAAAATAACATCCAGAGGTCCTGGCATGGTGCAGTTAGCAGCCACCCTTTTGCTACTGATTCAGGCCATCCATCGTGTGCTCTGGTGCTTGGCCACTTGTGTGAAGTGGAGGGGGGAAATTAGGAGACCACCTTGTCCCTGCAGCCTTGCAGTGCACGCCTCTAACTGGGTAGCAATCCTGCAGTGTAACGTAACCTACTCATGTGAGTTTGTGAATGTAAAGGTCCGATTTCAGAACCGAGATATCTGCCATTTATTCTGATTTTTCACTTTCAAACATCAAAACACCTTATTCTTTCAGAATTAGAGACAGGCCATGGAAATTTATTCTGGGTGTGTCTGAGAGAGCAGAGTTCTCCTAAATTGTAGAGAAAACAGCAGTTGACAGTGTTTTTATAAATAAACTGCCTCCGTTTTGCTCAAGCTCTCCAGGAGACAGCTGTCAGTGGAAGTAACTAATATTTGCTTAGATTTTTTAAAAACTGGAAATCTGTGTTTATTGTTTTTAATGTTCCAGCCACAAGAAGACAGAGTCATGTGAATGTATTCCATAATCCCACTCTCTTCCATAATTGCTATTTACTTATGGATGCAAATTACAAAGAAGCATAATGAGAGCCATAGCTCTCCAATTTGTTTCACTTTAAACAAAAGTAAGCCAAAAGAGTCAAAGCAATGGTCCTGTTTTTTTCTATGATTCAATACAGTTCAAGGTTCTGCATATTAGAGTTCATTGAAAACACAATTAACTGCCATAAGCTTTAAATCATAGAATCATAGAATGCTTTGGGATGGAAGGGACCTTTAAACGTCATCTAGTCCAACCCCCCTGCAATTGGCAGGGACATCTACAACTAGATCAGGTTGCTCAGAGCCCCATCCAGAGTGGCCTTGAATATTTCCAAGGATGGGGCATCTACCACCTCTCTGGGCAACCTGTTCCAGTGTTTCACCACCCTCATTGTAAAGAATTTCTTCCTTATATCTAGTCTGAATCTACCCTCTTTTAGTTTAAAACTATTGCTCCTTGTCCTATCGCTATTGGCCCTGCTAAAAAGTCTGTCCCCTTCTTTCTTATAAGCCCCCTTTAAGTCCTGAAAGGCTGCAATAAGGTCTTCCCGCAGCCTTCTCTTCTCCAGGTTGAACAACCCCAGCTCTTTCAGCCTTTCCTCATAGGAGAGGTGCTCCATCCCTCTGATCATTTTTGTGGCCCTCCTCTGGACCCACTCCAACAGATCCATGTCCTTCCTGTACTGAGGACCCCAGAGCTGGATGCAGCACTGCAGGTGGGGTCTCACCAGAGCAGAGTAGAGGGGCAGAATCACCTCCCTCGACCTGCTGGCCACGCTTCTTTTTATGCAGCCCAGGATACAGTTGGCTTTCCGATCTGCGAGAGCACATTGCTGGCTCATGTCCAGCTTTTCATCTATCAGTACCCCCAAGTTGTTCTTAGCAGGGCTGCTCTCAATCCCTTCATTCCCCAGTTTGTACTGATACTGGGGATTGCCCTGACCCAGGTGCAGGACCTTGCAGTTGGCCTTGTTGAACCTCATGAGGTTCACATGGGCCCATTTCTCCATCTTGTCCAGGCCTGTCTGGATGGCCTCCCGTCCCTCAGGCGTGTCAACTGCACCACTCAGCTTGGTGTCATCTGCAAACTTGCTGAGGGTGCACTTGATCCCACTGTGTGTCGTTGATGAAGATATTGAACAGCACTGGCCCCAGTACGGACCCCTGAGGTACACCACTCATCACTGTTCTCCATCTGGACATCAAGCCATTGACCACTCCCCTCTGGATGTGACCATCCAGCCAATTCTTTATCCACTGAACAGTCTACCCATCAAATCCATATCTTTCCAATTTAGAGAGAAGGATATTTTGGGGGACTGTGTCAAAGGCCTTGCAAAAGTCTAGATAGATGACATCCGTAGCTCTTCCCTTGTCCACTGATGTAGTCACTCCATCATAGAAGGCCACTAGGTTGGTCAGGCAGGACTTGTCCTTGATGAAGGCGTGCTGGCTGTCTCAAATCACCTCCCTGTCCTCCCTGTGCCTTAGCACAGCTTCTAGGAGGATCTATTCCATAAAATAAGATGATAAAACAAGGGAAAATCTATACATTCCATAGTTGTGAATCAGAAAGAAGGATTTTCTACACCAACAAGTAATGGGAAAGTCAGCATATCAGGTTCAGTGGTTTGGGATGTAGTTCCCTGTACTCACCTTGCCAAGGTCTTTGGAGTTCCTCTCCCTGGTATCTGGCAAAGCAACTGAGAGTTTCACCATGGTGTGGACTTCTTTTTCCTGTCCAGTATCTCCTGTGAAGGAGATGGAAGTGATGGGAGAGCGCTGCCATAAAACTGAACATTTAGGTCAAATTGCCTTCTCTTAAGATCTCTTCTCTTCAGTGCATTCAGGCCCTACATACACGGTCCTAGTGAGAATGCAAGTTGGGGATGGAGAAATGAGAAGACAGACACAGAATTAGTTGGTGTATGTGGCTGAACAGTCCAGAGAAAATGGGAGAAAATCCTTTCCTTGAATCAGAATTCATCCCAGATGTTGTTCAGAATTAACTTCATTTGCATTAGAAAATGTAAACATGTTTTGCTTTCTTTTTGCAGAGCAAAGGTTCTTCCAATTTGTTATAAGTTGTTAAGCAAATACTCTAGGGGCTCTATTATGTCCAGATACAGCAGTATAATTACATTGTTGTTCTACTAACGTGGAGTTAAACAAAGATCAAAGCAGCCTTGAAATGAATTGAATATGGTTTTCTGTTTCTGGTATGGAAAATGGAAAGAATAACAAACTATTGAACAAATTTTCTCCTGTCTGCTGTGCCACGCCATTAGAATATATATGATATTGTTGGGTATAACCAAGGCAGTATTCTGTCTGTTAAAGAAGACCTTAATATACAATGACCTGTTAAAAAACCCAATGACCAGTATAGTTAATAATAGACTTGTAAGTTATGTAGATGAAGTAACTAATGTTATTTCAAGTCTGACAAAAATAATTTTTATTTGGACAAAAAAGTTGAACTAATTATGTGTTTTGTAGGTCACTTCTCAAGAATCTGGAACCAAACCACTGACCTTCACATTTGTACCATCCATTGGAAGACTTCCAACTCATTTTGAGGTTGTAGATGTCTCTAAGTTCCTTGTGACAATTCCAGATGAGCCAAAGGATCTGAGCAATCAAGAGATTATAAATAAGGTAGATTTTTGTTTGTGTTAATTTTTCCACTCTTTCAAAAGATACAGAAAATTTTGTCCTGAGCATCCTGAACTGAAGCTCTTTTTTTCCCTTGAACTGTTTCTTGGCTTGTGCTTCATTTTAATTACAAAGCCTACCAGAGATGCAGAATCGTTGTGCAAGAGAAGGCTGATATCTGCTCAACAGATTGTTTTGCCTTTGTCAGAGTTTATGTTGGAAGGAAACCCTTGCCCATCTCAATACTGTCCTCTGTCAGTCATGCAAGGGCTATATTCTTGGCAGACAAGGAGGCATTCCTTCCTGATCTTCATGGGAGCAAGGGTGGTGTGTGAGGAGTGTTATCACATGGGAATCGACCAAGAGTTGGTCACTGGATCCTGGTTTCAGCAAATGCCAGTGCTGTGGCTTCCAGCAAAGGTGCCAATCCCTTTCATAGCTGTGTAGTAATGCATCAAAGTAAAAGCTTGCTTTTTGTTTTTGAAAGCTTGTCCCGACGATTTCCCGTGACGGTGAAGCCAGCAGCACAACATTCCTGGTTCTCCTGCCCTTAGCCAGCCCATAGTGTTTGTTATTCCTTTCCTGTCTCACAATGCTTAACAGCCTCTTATTTTATTCCATGCTGCTTGAGCGGAAACTGAAACCTTCAGATTAATATTAATGCTTATGGTGATTCTGCTCTTGTGTAACATCTCCTTCCCTGGGACATTGCTGGGGCTGCACTTCTTGGTGCTAATAAACTTTTCACAGTCCTCTGACCTGAACATGCTCCAGCATTTTCAGTGGCCTATCTGACTAAAAAAGCAGTTGGTCTGGGCAGAGAATGGACATGTTTGAAGACACATGCACTGGAATATTATCCTCAGGATGTTTGATTCATGAGTTACATATCCAGCCACTCAGTATTGGTTTTGCTGTAAGTAGTTCCTTGGGTAATGCAGAATCAGGTATTCCTGACCTCTGTCTCTCTGTGTTTCTCTGTAGGCAGAGGAAACATTTCCTGGCAGTTGATGCAGTACTGAGGCCTTCATAGCACTGATTACTCCCTTTTCTAAAATGTCTAGAACCTGAAAAATATTTAAAAAAAAACAACCAACTTCAGATAATGAAAAGAACACCTCCAAAGTAATACTGGTGTTATTCCCCTTTATGATCCATTTTTTTTTTAAAGAACTGAGCTCCAGGGACTCGTGGAGCTGCCAGTGGAAATTTGTCATTACTGTATTCCTCAATCAGGATTCAAATATGAGCCCCATCTACAGGCTTTATTTTGCAGTACACAATATTTCTATTTTACCTGATTTCTCCTTCAAGAGAAATATGGTTTACCATAGTAGTTTCAATACTGAATGATTTGGTGATGTGCATGTCATATGCCCAGCTTGCACTACTCCTGCTCTCATCCAAAGCATGCTTGAGAAGTTACATACTGGAAGTGGAAATTGCAGAAGATACGAAGAACAATTGTGGTCTGTGCTGAGAAGCTTGAACATACAGTAAAGCTCTCTGACCTCAGATTCTTTGTCTGCTCTTTTCAGAGAATCCCCTGGCTTAAAGGCCTTTGTTTCTTCATTAATATGTATAGGTTTTGTCCCAGATTTGTCTGTCAGGCTCCTCTGAGGAGCATTGTCCGCTCCCGTGGATCCTGCAGTTGGGATGCCTTCCCATCGTGTCTGGTGTAGTCTGGTCTGACAGCTCATTCGGCTTGACTGCACCCTCCTTTTCGGTTCCCGTGCCAGCTCCAGGCTTGGGCCATTGTTGTGATCAGGGTCCCCTGTTGCTCTGCAGGTCGCTGGGAAGGCAGCCCCCGCAGCATCGGCTGGGGGTTGGAAGCGGAGGGCTCCCCGGGGAGCTGGTTTCTTCTGGATGCTCATGCCCAAATTCTTCATTCACCCTCTGCACTTGTGGTAGCACAGTGCCAACCACTGCTGCAAGCCAAAATTACTTTGCATTTTGGGGGAACACAAATAAAATGCAGCTAATTGGGATCTTTTTCCTTGTATCTTTTGCAGTCTAACGTAGTCTCTGATGAGCTGGCCTTAAAGAGCGGGGCCAGACAAGACCGTGTGTCTGCCATCTGTACAGACAGCACCGGAACAGCTTTCCAGTCCCTGGGGTGTAACTCAAGCAAAGGAGAAATGCAGGAGAATGACCTTTTTAAGGCTGAGTTTATCCTGATTACGGACTCTGGTGATGAAGATGAAGTAGCCGCTGCCTCAAACAACATTCATCTGCCTTCCAATGGCTACGGTCCCATCAGCGCTCAGCTGCTGGCCACATCCCACGTTTCCCCTGGCACCGGGGCAGGGAAACCTCCTGGTGATGGGCACGTTCCAGGTGCTGCACTTTCCCACAGCACTGCTGATCTGCAAAAACATCAGGTAACCTGCTCTTTAAACTCTAGAGCTAACCTTTGCTTTCTAAAGCTTTCAGGATATGGACATGGACACGGAGTCAATTTATAAAGCAGCTTGGCCAATTTGTTCTTTAATTAGCATTGTTGTTGGCCATTCCTGTAACATTTGGACTCTAAGGAGTTGTCCCAGCCCTTCTGACTTACTGCCTCTCCCTATAGCTCTGGTGTATAAATCGAGCAGGTAATACAGATCTATTGTTCCTTCCTTTAAGAGCAGGTCAACATGACAGCAAGTTAATCAGAAGGTGTTAGATTCTTAGCTAGTCTAAATTCACTAAGGTCGTTGAAATCAATGGAGCCAGTAGATCATTTGAATTATTAGCATCAGACTTCTCAGGCCTATTTTTTTCTCAGCACCCGCTGCGGCCTTTTATGCTGGAGAAAGAAGCTGTAAAAATCCCATTATTCTGATTGTTAGTTAGCACTGACTTTGCACAAGTGTAATGAACTAATGAAGTTGAAAAGTGCATTTTATGTTCATCTTTATAGGGCACATTTATTGATTTATTGAAATTTTAAATTGCCAACGGGAGAATTCAAAAAAGGGTCTTTGAAATGTTTCATTTTCAAAACACATCAATCCAATTTACTGCATGAAAAGTTAATATCTCTCATCTTGGAAAGCACTGATAGTTTTCAAGACTGTATATGCAGTGGAAAGCTCAGCCTTTAGTAAAATAGCAACATCCTTCTCACATGGAATAAATTCAGACATTTCCTTTGACCTCAACAGGATTTCCATGGGTTGAAAATGCCATTCTTCATTGATCATATTGTAAAAAATGTTGAGCATGGCTACTTTGTCTCTGAAAATGAATAGAACTTCCTATCTTGTGTTGAAATACTTGTGCTACTCAATTTTTCATCAAATTCAGTGTCAATTTTTGATTGAGGAAATTGTGAATAAGGAATCCAGTCTGGTTTGGGATTTACAGCATTATGAAATATTAATTTCTTTCAAAAAACTCCCAGTGAAGTCAGTGAGAATTTTACCTGAGGAAGGTGTAAAAGCATAGATAAATCTATGTAGGGGAAGCAGCTTGTAAAAGAATAATTGTCCTAGGGAAATACAAATTTACTTCGGCGATGTTCAGTATGCAGATTCTGCCAGGCTTACTTGGGTGGTTTATTTAAAAGCTACAAATTATGTGGATTTTTTGCAAGACTATACAGAAAAATTCATATGCTGTAGCCTTCCTAAGCTTTTGATGACTTGACAAGTAAACAGAGATTTGCCTGGTAAAGTAACAGAAAATACAGATTGCAAAGAACAAGGAATTAAAGCTTAACTTTACTAGCTGTTCATCTGAATGTGAAGAGAGACAGTACGTAGTATGGGTAATGCGTATCTCATCATTATTCTTAAGTTGCAGTTTTTCAAGACTGTACTTCCTTAGTCTTAATTTTCTAAATATCTCTAGCTGTCTCTTATCTCTTCATAAGAAGATGTTTTTCACGAAGTTGCTTTCCACTGATGTTCTGATTCTTCTTCAATGTTTCCTTGGGCATCACTCCTTCTGGCTTACTATCTAATGAAGTATTATCAGTTCAGAAATAAAGGAAAAATACAAAATGATTAAATAGATGTATTATTTATCTTTTGGTAGATTTCTTATGTACAAAGGATTCCATATAGGGGCTACCTTGTCAATTCTAGGATTATAATGGCAGTATCATGTCCCACTTCAGAGTAATTACATAAAACATTATGTTCATTTAAAAGCATAATTAGAATATGGGTTTCCTGTCAGAGATGAGAAAAACAAGAACCAGCATTGGGAACTATTGTGTTGTACAGAGGATCACTCCAACTGAACCATAGGGCTCCTACAGCTTCATTTGTTTCTGACTTTTTTAAAATGAAAGAAAAAAAAAAAAAGAAAAGCATCGAAAAAATGGAAGCTTCTATTGTTCCTTGAGGTGTAAAGGTCCTGACTGATGTTGGAAAATGCTATGCCATATTCAAAGTCTGAAAAAATAACCAGTTAAAAAAAAAAATCAGTTATTCTGGTCTTCTGGTCATACTTGGAACTTTTTGGTGCTAGTTTACTGCTTATATATTGTGCCTTTTTTTTTTTTTTTAATGTTAAAGAGAGTCTAGTTACGTGAGAGAGAGGCAGACTGACTCCGGCCCTCGAGAGTGCGCTCTTTGGGGTGAGGGGGGATGTGTCTTCTCCCCTGAATGCCAGGACATCAGTTCAGCTTGGAGAAACTTCTTGACTCATTATGGGGCATCAATAGCCAGAAGGCTTATTTAGCTAGTCAAAGTCACTTGGCATTCCTCTGTCCAGTGCATGTCATCTGGTTTGGCTTTTGCAGACAACTCAGTCAAGAGTCCCTACAAACTCCTGCCATTGCCAGGAAGAATGCACCTTCCTTGTTAGGAGAAATTGGACTGTTCTGAATGGCATCTATATTAACTGGGTCTCAGCTCGCAGGATGATTTACTGTGCTGTTTCCAGAGATTTTCCCAAGTTTTCCACAGTCTTCAGTGCTTCTTTCTGTCCTTCTGGCTTTCAGGTTGCAGGCTGTGGTAGGGAATTTACTTTATTTTTTTCCTATCTAGAATCAAATTCTACTGAGATCAAAGCATGGTTAACTCACTCCAAGACCAGGTCTACATCAAGCCACAACCTCTCTCAGATATGATTTCTGCCTTTTGGACTCTCCATTTGTCACACTCCTTCCCCTTTCCTGTTTGACCAGCACATCTCTCAGGGTCTTGCTGGTACAAGTAACCACATTTTTTGTGCCCTTCCAAAACAATGATCTTACCAGAAAGACCATTTGCCTTGTGTCCAGCTCATCTCTGCCATTTCAAATGTGCTGAATGTCTCCTGGGCAAGACTCAATACTAAGATTATGACCTCTTTGATATTTCTGGGATCATCATCTATGAGGCAACAATATCTTTTTCAAGTTCCTTGATCCCTTCATGCCAAGGTAACCTTGCCACCTATTTCGACTTTCTTTATATACTTTTGGGAAATGTATACCTAAGATGCTCCTGAGAAAAGAAAAAGGCTTGTAGTTGAATCACAGACCATAGGAACACAAACCCATTTCTGTCACTCACTTCCTCTGCACTAATCCAGTACAACTACACAAGTGTTTTAAACCAGTAGAGAAACTGAATAGATAAAAAAGGCAAAACAATCCCATTGATGGATGGAAGTTGTTATATCTCATCTGCTGGCACTGGTGAGGCTGCACCCGTAAAACCATGCTCAGTTTGGTGGCTCCTCACCCCCAAATTCAAGAGAGATGTGAAGAAGGGAATGGGGGTCCAGTACAAAGCTATAAAGGTGGCCTGGGCACATGTGAGCTGTGGCTGAGGGAGGTAGCTTTGTTGACTCCCACCAAGAGGCAGCCAAGGAGTTATCTAGGAACAGCCCACAACTACTTGAAGGGCAGTTACAGAGATGACAGAGCCAAACTCTTCCCTGCAGTGGCAGGTGAGAGAGCAGTGGCCACAAATTGAAGGATGGGAGGTCCCAGCTGAACTTCTGGAGAAGCTTCCTCACTGGGAGGTGGTGCAGCACTGACACAGGCTTCCTGGGGGTGCTGGAGCCGCCTCCATTAGGGGCTTTAGAGACTTGGTGAGACATGGCCACAGCTGACCTGACCTGCTGGTGTTGGTGAAAGCCCTGCTTTGAGTAGGAGGCTGGACTAGATGACCTCGAGGAGTCACTTCCAACCAACTTTGATATGATTTTCTGATCCTGTAAATAAGAGGGTAATAATCTATAGATTTAGTTAACCCGGTAGGTAATACAATAGCAAAATCTTTTCAGAAGACTTGAATAATGGATCAATTAGCTAAACATATAAATGTTCAGTGGTGTTCAAACTGGAAGAATACTACAGCACAATGTCTTTATCATACTTGCAGGAGCATATTTATCATCTGTTACTATGAACATTTTCCTAGCTGCTTATAAATCTTTCTTATTAAGTTTTAACTAATTAGAAGTCATTGCACATCCTGCCTTTTCATTATGGAGTTTCATATTTGTTCCTCATTTTCTTTTAATCTGTTGTCTTTGTAAGGGAAATTGATCTATTCTATTTTGAAATATAGAGATTTCAATAGAGATTTCAGGGGTTTTTTTGGTAGTTGATCAACTCACTGTAAAATTTATCAGGCTGCTCCAAATTATCAGATATATTACCATGCTGCTTTTTAACTTGTTAAATAATTTTCTGTTTCGTGACATGTTTAATAACAATTTTTCATGATGCTTAAATATTGGTAAATTATTCTCAATTTCCAGTATTTTTTCTTATTCTTAATTAGTAGCTTTTTCAATGAGAGTCATAATTTCTTAATCCAATAGAATATATGGTATAATGGTATCATGGACATTCATTTTTATATTCTAATATTTGTACTGTATACATCCATTGGCTTTCCATTTCGGAAACACACGTACAAAATAAGGTGAGGTTAGTGTGGTTGTAAAGGCATTCTGATGGTTGGTGTTTATTTTTATCAATTAAGGCTTTTCTGAAGGTATTTTATACAGAAAATATCTTCAGTTTACAAAGCTTGCTATTTGTTTGGTATCATTTAGCAGGAAGAGCTTATTTTAAGTTGCATGGGCTAATAGGGTTCTGTTGTGCTTATTTAGCCCATATTTATCATTTTAGGTGTAGTTTAGCCTTTTAAAGCCTGTAAGTCTTGCTCTGCTTTCACAGGTTCTTCCAGAATGTGCTCTCACTAGAAAATTATGTTTTGTACTTATTTTTGTTTTGTGATGTATCAATACTATGTGATATAATAATAATAATTCCTCTCTCTTATGGGGAAGATATTTGTATTAAAAAATAGGATTCATAAGCTGAGCCAAAGCCATGCACAAGTCATGTATGTAGAAATGAGATGTTATAATTGTCTTTTATAGAATTGCTTAAGCTTTTCAGGGTATCAGACAATAGATAAATAGGTGTTCTTATATTTATATG